AACAAAAAAAATCACTCCATTTATTTTTGGAAGGTGTTGTATACAATCCCGTCCCTCGCACATTTTTTCTTTACGATCCTGTGAGGTAGGTAAGGCAGAGAGGCTCAAGGTGTATACGTGTGTGTGTGTGTGTGTGTGTGAGAGAGAGAGAGAGAGAGAGAGAGTTTGTTTATTTATTTATTTATTTATTTATTTATTTATTTATTCCCTGCCCATCTGGCTGGGCTTCCCCAGCCACTCTGGGCTGCTCCCAACAGAATATTAAAAACACGATAAAATATCAAACATTTAAAACTTCCCTAAACAGGGCTGCCCTCAGATGTCTTCTAAAGGCCAGATCGTTGTTTATTTCCTTGAAATCTGTTGGGAGAGCGTTCCACAAGGCAGGCACCACTACCAAGAAGGCCCTCTGCCTGGTTCCCTGTAACCTCACTTCTCGCAGGGAGAGAACCGCCAGAAGGCCCTCAGAGCTGAAGGCCCTCATCCACCGCTGAATGATGGCGGTGGAGATGCTCCTTTAGGTATACTAGGCCGAGGCCGTTTAGGGTTTTAAAGGTCAACCAACAGTTTGAATTGTGCTGGGAAACGTACTGGGAGCCAATGTAGGTCTTTTAGGAACAGTGTTATATGGTCTTGGTGGCCACTCCCAGTCACCAGTCTAGCTGCCGCATTCTGGATTAGTTGTAGTTTCCAGGTCACCTTCAAAGGTAGCCCCACATAGAGCGCATTGCAGTAGTCCAAGCAGGAGATAACCAGAGCATGCACCACTCTGGTGAGACAGTCTCATGTATATGTGTATATGACATATACCTGCGTTGGAGATCAAACACAGGAGAAGTTTCCCAGTTTCAATGAGAATGTCCCTATTTTCATCTGAGAAACGTTAGCAGGTATGCCATCTCTCCAGGGAAAGCCAACACTTTTAAAACAGAGTTTGGGAAACTTTTCTCAAGCCAAGAACCACTTTGTCTCATGCGATAACTTCCAAAGGTTGCAGGCTAACTCAGGCTGTGTGGCCAGAGCAACAAAACAGGACTTTATGCCTCCTCTGAGCCAGACAAAAGTCAAGGGTTCAAAACATGCACACCTCCATCCCCTTTCGGGCAGGTTCAGAAGCATGGTTGGAGTTCACATTCACATTCCAGCCAGACAAAAGCACACACATTTCGTTAAGAGCTGATAAAAATTCTATTTAAAACCCAGCAATATTCAACATACAAACACACATGCATCACAAAATATAATAATGTATAATCTTCAGATAACCTGGAGATCAATGCCCACTGCCGTCTCTTTCAAATTGTGTTTTTGTTTCTCCTTTGGAGAAATAGGATTCTGCAATCCATAATGCTTAAACAGCTTTTACCTTCTCCTGATAGAGAAACGTGCCTTCAGCTGAAATAACTATCCCAAGAGACGCTGTTGCAGGCATCTAGCTAAGCGTTTCCCCTCCTTACTCCTCAGATGTGGAGCCATGCAAAGCAGAAGACAGAACTGCAAAACGAATGCCACTTAGCCCATTTCCCAAGTGAGAAATGGGGGTGTTACTCCACATGACATATTTAAAACTAGTTTAAAAGCTATTCTCTCTTCCCAGGGAACCTTGGCGACTGTAGTTTACGCTGGGGGAAAGACGAGTGAGAGATCTTTAACAGAAAATGCTCAATGTATTGCCAAACTACAGCTGCTACGGCAAATTAAGTATGTGGTAAATCAGTGGGCTGGATCCACTGAACGCAGGAGTCAAACTCAGGTCTTTCCTGGTTTCTCCTCTCCCCTATTACAGCATACCCTCCAACATTTCTCTGACGAAAATAGGGATGTCCTATTTAATAATAATAATACCCCATCATCTGATTGGGTTGCCCCAGCCGCTCTGGGTGGCTTCCAGCATATATTTGTTGTTGTTTAGTCTTTTAGTCGTGTCTGACTCTTCGTGACCCCATGGACCAGAGCATGCCAGGCACTTCTGTCTTCCACTGCCTCCCGCAGTTTGGTCAAACTCATGCTGGTAGCTTCAAGAACACTATCCAACCATCTCGTCCTCTGTCTTCCCCTTCTCCTTGTGCCCTAAATCTTTCCCAACATCAGGGTCTTTTCCAGGGAGTCTTCTCCTCTCATGAGGTGGCCAAAGTATTGGAGCCTCGGCTTCAGGATCTGTCCTTCCAGTGAGCACTCAGGGCTGATTTCCTTCAGAATGGAGAGGTTTGATCTTCTTGCAGTCCATGGGACCCTCAAGAGTCTCCTCCAGCACCATAATTCAAAAGCATCAATTCTTCGGCGATCAGCCTTCTTTATATTTAAAAACTTCCCTATACAGGGTTGCCTTAAAGTTGTATATTCACTTATCTCCTTGGCTCAGGGGTTCCATAACTCCATACCCTCCAACATTTATCCAATGGAACTACAGATGCCTTAAGGAAAAGCAGGACATTTGGGGATCAAATCAGAAACCAGGATGGTTTTTATAAATCCAGGATGTCCCTGGAAAATAGGAGCACCTGCAGGGTCTGTACAGCCTGCTGGGCCCCAAAGCCACTCCTTTTAGGGTCAAGGGGCATCGGAAGTTGCCTTGCACTGAACCAGACTGTTGGTCCATTTGCCTCAGTACACGGACTGGCAGTGGACCTTTTGCCTGCAAAGCAGATGTCCTACAACTGAGCCATCATGGCTGGAACATCATGCTGCCCTTGCACGAACAATACCGCCCTTCCACTTGTGGCAAACTGCTTTGGGATCCAGGCCAGCATGTTAGCTGTGCGCACACACAAACGATAGGACAAGTCAATATAAAACTGCAGGGGACTATAGGTACAAATGGCAGATTTCCTACGAAAGCCTGAGCTCATGGGCTCAAGATACTTGGTGGCAGAAGAGCAATCTCTTTTTTTTGGTAATGTTGGCATCAACCGTGCAACCGTACACCACTAGAGGGAGTATTCAGGCTGACATCTGGCAATGCTGAGCGAGGGATGGATATTTATGTTGTTACTGATGCTTGCCTAATGTAAATACTGTATTTTTTGCTCTATAAGACTCACCTTTTTCCTCCTAAAAAGTAAGGGGAAATGTGTGTGCGTCTTATGGAGCGAATGCAGGCTGCGCAGCTATCCCAGAAGCCAGAACAGCAAGAGGGATTGCTGCTTTCACTGCGCAGCGATCCCTCTTGGTGTTCTGGCTTCTGAGATTCAGAATATTTTTTTTCTTGTTTTCCTCCTCCAAAAACTAGGTGCGTCTTGTGGTCTGGTGTGTCTTATAGAGCGAAAAATACGGTAGTTTCGCAGTCTGCCCTGCCTGTTTTAACACTTGGAACCATGCCCCGTTCAGATGTGGGTCTACCATGTCGCAAGTCCCAATGCCCCGCTCCACAAAGCTGTGTTGCAACAATGGCCTCTAGAGCAGGGGTCAGCAAGCTTTTTCAAGCAGGGGGCCGGTCCACTGTCCCTCAGACCTTGTGGGGGGCCGGACTACATTTTGAAAAAAAATAATGAACAAATTCCTATGCCCCACAAATAACCCAGAGATGCATTTTAAATAAAAGCACACATTCTACTCATGTAAAAACACCAGGCAGGCCTCACAAATAACCCAGAGATGCATTTTAAATAAAAGGACACATTCTACTCATGTAAAAACACACTGATTCCCGGACCATCTGCAGGCCAGATTTAGTAGGCGACTGGGCCAGATCCGGCCCCCAGGGCCTTAGTTTGCCCACCCATGCTCTAGAGCACCAGTTCTCAACCTGTGGGTACCCAGATGTTGTTGGACTACAACTCCCATCATCCCTGAGCTCTGGCCTTGCTAGCTAGGGGTGATGGGAGTTGTAGTTCAACATCTGGGGACCCACAGGTTGAGAAAGGCTGCTCTAGAGCATATGCAGTGAAAACTACACTCTCGACTGAACTAAGGAAGGTGGTCATGGCACCAGTGGCAATATTTACAAGCCACACATGCAGTCCTATTTACACAAATCAAACCCGGGGAGAATACTGCACAGATAAGGCATCGCCCCAGCTTCTACGAGCAGGGAGCACTGTTCCTCAATTTCCCTCCCTCCTGCCCCATAATAATCTTATTTCAGTTTGCACACCAGAGGAAGCTTCTTGCCAAATCCTCTCTACGGTTGCTTTTTGGTCTCTGGAAATCCCAGAACGGTAAGAGCGAGCACAAACTAATCTGTTCAACTGTTACCGCCGCTTCAGGTTTTGAGACAGTGAAGGGAGGCTCAAATGTCCACATTTATGTGTGTTTCCCTTTTCCTATTCCAAGTTAGGGGGCAAGGGGGCGATTATGTGGTAAGAGAACAGCGAGTTCCAGACAGTCGTGTGTTTTCATCATTTCAGGTAAGAGAGCTCTGCCTACCATCTGAGCTGCTTCTCAGGGAGAGAGGCCAACACTATTGTGTCAGAGGCAGGCAGCAATTCAGCCTCTCCCATCATTCCCAGGGGTAGGCGAGGACACAGATGCTGGCAAGCCTTAACCGCTCCTTATGGGACAGAATGAAACAGGCTCAGCCTTCGCGTTAATGAACCAGCTATTTTGAAAAGGTCTTCCTTACAAGTATGGCTGCCTTGTAAGAAGAGAGGGCATGCCAGGTAGATAAAAAGACACACCTAGGTTTGTGCATTTAAAAACGTTCAGTTTTTAAAAAGTCCTATTGTGTGCAGTCAGCGCTTTCTTTTCTTTAGTAAAAAAGGTACTGGAATTCACCATGAAATTGTTACAGTAAGTGGCGCACTTTAAACATTTGGGGGGGGGAGGGAGGGAAAGTGTGTCAGTACTGCACACTCTCAAGTACAGTGGTACTGTGGTACTCAAACAAATTGGAACCCAAACGCTGCAAACTTAGAAGCGTTCCAGTTTGTGAACTTTTCCTGGAAGCCAAACATGCCGTTTTGAGTCTTATGCTTCCGATCTGAGAGCCACACTTCCGTTTTGAATGTTACACTGAGGTCTGTCTGATTTTGCCTTTTTGTTTTTGCAGTTTTTTTGTTTTTGTGACTGTGTGGAACTCAGTTCAGCTACTGATTGATTGATTGTGTGGCTGCAGTACATTGTTTCTTGCTTTCATTTTATAGATCAATGGTCTCATTAAATAGTAAAATCCATGTTAAATTACTGTTCTAGGGGTTGTTTTTAAATGTCTGGAACAGATTAATCCATTCTGTATTGCTTTCTGTGGGAAAGCACACCTTGGTTTTGGAACGCTTCGGTTTTGGAACAGACTTCCGGATCGGATTAAGTTTGAGAACCAAGGAACCACTGTACCCCCAGGGAAAAAAAACACTGGGCTGGGTATTCATTTCACAATGATCATGGATGAGGATGTTAACAACCCTCTGAAATACAGAAAGTTGAGCTCTGTTGACATCTAACCATCATATTTTTAAATGGTGTTACTTTTAGGGCAGCCTTTTCCCAAACTTAGTGCCTTCTACACTACAACTCCCATCAAGGTCAGAAAGCCTGGGCAATGGTTAGTGATAAACAGGAGCCCCGACAAGAGCTGAGGGACAGCAGGCTGAGGAAGACTGCTTTAGGGAGCAAAAGTGAACAATGGTAGACAACATTAAACAATGCTCATTGTCACTGAAAGCTGTCCTAGCAGAATTGTTCAACCTTCCTCTGTCATGAACCAAGCAACTGTCAAGGGTTAGACAGGTTTTTTTCTTCCCATGTGGGGCGCTGAGGCTGTATTATGAGCGAGAGCCATATGTATTCTTAGCAACTACATAACAGGGAGTGGGGGACTGAAGAAATATCCAGAAGTAAGGCTGGCTCCTCCTGTGTCGCCTCAGCCCAAGTTCTCTTGGCTTGATGCGGTTTCCCCTTAAGAAAATTTAAAAGAACAAAGTGATTAATCAAGGACAGCAAAACATTTAAAATCTGGAAATACATCTGGATATATGGATATATTACTAACCATAAATATGTTCTTGGGTTCATCTGCGAAATGGTGTCTTCCCAGAAAAAGCTCTGCCCTTTCTTCTACCAGAACCTCTCTTTAAACATCAAGGTTTCATTGAGCTGGTCCTTACAACGCTCGGGACAAACCAAACAGAACATGCCGCTGAAGTCAAGGAAGTTGGCTTCTCTTCCTCGCAAATCAGCGATTTCAACCGTGTACGATGCTTCTAATGTATCCGTTTTGTGAGCAGCTGGCATTTGGGCTCAGAGCATAGCTCATCCACATGTAATTAAACAGTGTGGGTTAGCTGGCAAGGTCACTCTAAGAGACAAGCTTCCGTTGTGCCAGTCTCATATTGTTTTGATATTTTATACTTTACCTGTTTACGATTGCCTGGGAACTGGTGGTTGTAAACCAATGAACGCTTCAAGTTCCACACAACCGGGAGGCTATTTACCAGGTACCCCCAGATCGCCTCTATCTGAGGGAGACAGCCTGCTGCTGCCGCGACTCCCAAATCCCATCGGCTCCAGCCAGCATGGCCAACGATGAGGGAGGGTGGAAGTTGAAGCACACAGTGTTTGGAGAACACCACATTGACTACCTCAATGCCCTTTAAGAAGTGAGCCGACACAGCTTCCCCCTGAGCCGCTGCTACTGAAGAACTTGTTTTGGAATGGCAAGCTTTCCAACAGTGCCCAGTTACTGAAGCACAGATCAGAATTTTGCAGGATCACAATGCAGGCAGAACTAAAACCCATGCTCATTGCTGTATTTTTATTTATATCATTAATGCTATTACTGCTGTTCTATAAGCAAAGGAAGCCTTTGTAAACAAGAAAGATGAAGATGGCAAAAACGCTCATCAAAAGTTGGCAGATTAAGAGTGACGCCAGGCAAGGAACACACCCCACACTCCTATATATTCTTGGAAATATAGCTGGTGAGACCTGCTTCCAGATAAGCATCGTTACAGATGAAATCAAACACACACATTTCAGAGCAGAAAATGATCTTGACAAGGGGGAAAGTGGTGGGGTGTTTTGCTTTTTGCTTTACATGGTTAGTGCAACTTTTATTTATGAGGTCCGCTTCAAGAATATAACAAACAAAAAGAGAAGGAAAAACAGTCATTTTACAGCATTTGCATGAATTCCAAATAAGATTTCTCTCTCCCCCTCCCCCAAACAAACAAAAATGATTGAAAATAATTCTAGAGTTACCCAGTACAAAGACACACTGAGAATGCTTACAATATAAAAAGGAAAAACCGCACATATTTTGCATGACCCCGGGAGTTATTTTCCCCCTTTCCGAACTCAGCAGCTTGAAAACAATTCGCACTAAGCAGCACAAGGCTCCCCTGTCTAGAAACTGAGGTATTAGCTCTAGAAGCAGAAAGCGTTATGTGTGCAAATTGGCCCTTGAGAATTTTGAGGGCGGCTATCGCAAGGAAAGCAGGCATCGGCACGAATCGTATACACAGGTTTCGTTTTAGCTCTTCGCTCCAAGCACACTTTGCACCGGCTGAAACCATCAGCAGGAAACAGAGGTAAAACACTCCCTGGGTTGCAAGGGGGAGGTTGAATGCCTGCCCCCCACTAAATACACACACTTGTGGGATGGAGGGCTCCAAAAAGAAAACCAGTGTGTCAAGAAGAACAGCTCGAGCCAGATTAATGCCTGGCATACGGTTTCTCTGTGTATGGGGATTCCCTTCCTCTTTTTCCCAGCAGAATAAACTTGAAATCACCATCCGTCACTGGGGAGGGGGGGACCACATTGGCAGGGCTGACAAAAAATGGCTGATTTATGCAGTTTGCAGAACCGAGTGGCAAAGAATCTCTCTGGCCTCTGAGAAGCTGTGCTTTATGAAAGCCGTATCCTACTGGATCTTCAGATGCCGCCACAGCTTCCATGAAGGTCAATTGCAAGCCATCCAAGAGGCACATTAAGAATTTCAATTTGTTTCTCATGCAGCAGCGCCTACTGAACTAAAGAGGTGGGCTTTGCATTCCTGGAGGGAATCTGGGATTTTAAAATAGATCCTGGAGAAGCAGCAGGCAAGAGTTTGGCACGAGAAGGTTGGCCTTCTCTAGTCGAACGCAGCCGCCACCACTTACTCCACCCCACCGGAGGGAAAACACCAGCCCCCTTTTTTATGATGCCATTGGGCAGACCGTCTCCACTTCTCATGGGGCAATTTTAATTCACACAGGTTAAACAGAGCAGTTGCCCCTTGTTCCATCCGCCAGCCTCCATTAGCCGCGATGGGAGTTGCTCAGGACAGCAGAAAGACGATATTAACACACCTTAAGGCTAGGCAGTTCAAACTTAACCAAAAAAAGGAAAAGGAGAAGAAAAGAAAAACAAGCATTCAACCACACTCAAGGTTTGTTTTGGAAATGAACATCTGATGCACAACAAGGAATCCCAATTTCCATCTACGACCCTTATTTTAACACATCCCCCCCCCCCCCGGACTCATGCGGTTCTCAGCAGCTTCACTGGGTTTTTCAGCCTGGGGGGAACATGGCGAAGAGAGAGAAAGGCGTATGGCAGGGAGGAAATCCTCTTCTCTGGACAACAGAAGGTAGAGAACTAGTAGACCAAACTTCGCCCCCCCCACAGTTAACCATAAATAAAAGTGCAATTAAGTGTTCAAGTAGGGCGTATACAGAGTTTAGGCGGACAAGTGAGTCTTTTGACCGGGTCATCTTTTTGAGGCTCTGCGGGGATCCCTCCCGTTACTCATTGTGCTTTGTGGGGGGCGCGTGTGATTGGACGGCACTGAAGGAGGGGCGGGGCCCCGCCCGCTGACCCTCCCAGTACCTGCATAGGAGGAGGAGGAGGAGGAGGAGACATGATTATAAGCAGATGATATTCCGCTCAGCTCAGGTCCTGCCGGCAAACCATTTCCTACAAAAGCAAACAAGAAGAATAAAAGACAACACAGAGACACAAGACATTCGCACGTCAGACAGTCTAAGCTGCAGCTTCTTGGTCCCGGAGACCGCTTTGCATGTCTATGAAGCGGTCCTCTCTCACAATTCGCTAAGCGTTAGAGGTTGAGGTGAGCTGGGAAGGTGTCTGCAGAGACCACAAAGTCCCTAACAGCAGCTTGCTTTGCCATCCACATGCCAACAGTAACCAATGGCAAGGAGAAAACAATGGAAGACATGTGTTTCGGTGTCTTAGCAGCAGCAGGAACAACTTTTCCCAGCGCTGTATAAACCCCAGATATAGCAAAATGCACCGGGATGCTGCTGAAACCTGCACAATAAACACACAAGACGTAACCGGCTGTACTTTTGAATAAATAAGGTATACTATTCATTGTATCAAATTGTAGATTTCAACGGAAGTCTCATAAAGTTCAACGAAAAAAGCAGAAGACCCAGTGGATCAGTTCATTCTCTAGTCAGTTCATGCATAAGGTCCATGTATGTATAAGTGTCTATTCCACCTGTCTGTTCATAGAGTCCAATAATCCACAAGAAGGGTTGTTACAGATCCACAGAATCCTTTCACAGAGTCTAAGGCAAGGATTTCCGGAATATTAGCCTTGTTTTGCCATCCTAGGTTTCGCCATCAGTAGAACAGGAATATGTAATATTACAGGATAGTGGATCTTATAGCATAGTAGTGGTTGCAGTAACACTTACTGTATGAACAGAAAGGTGGAATAGACACTTATACATACATGGACCTTATGCATGAACTGATTAGAGAATGAACTGATCCACTGGGTCTTCTGCTTTTTCCGTTGAACTTTATGAGACTTCAGTTGAAATCTACAATTTGATACAATGAACAGTATACCTTATTTATTCAAAAGTACAGCCGGTTACATCTTGTGTGTTTATTGAGTATGTTCCACGTAACCATAGGTTTGTTGTTGTTGTTTTGCTGAAACCTGCACAGCGCTCAAAGGAAATGGGAGCTTGACTTCAGTAGAAGGTGGCAACGCAGCGTCCTTTCAGCTTGAGAGGGATCAAAAGGGGACTGACCGGGAATAATCCAATCTGGGCAAGCCAGACTGGATTGCTTAACTAAAGAAACTCAAATGAATCTGCAAACTAGCTTCCTGTTGGAAGGGGAATGTGTTCTGCTACTTGACTCACTAGCGTGAGTGAGGAAGAATGATATTTAATCAATATAGCCTCTCCTACTATCCACAACATTCCCACAACCCCCAGGTATCAGCTTCTCCACACCCTACCTGCTGTTTCCTCCTTCCTGTATGGGAGTACCATCTCCCAAGAAGCAAGACAAACACAATGGGTAATTGGGGGAACCAAACCTTCTTGCCCCAGTACTGCCTGACGACTCACCCTTCCCAATCACCAGGTGCCCTTTAAGCCACAACCTGAGCAGGAAGGTTGTTACAGGCCCAACTGTGCCAGAGTGAGGAGTCAGAGGGGTGGGGGCGTTAACCCACGACTCAACTACTTTCCTTCTGAATCCGTAGGCCCAGTTTGGATGTCAACGCTAAACCAGTGTTTTAACATTACAAGAATAAGCACGCTTGAGCGTGAGGAACAAACACACTTCCCTCTTCTGGCCCAGCCAGAAGAGACAGGAAGCATCCGATTTCTGGTTTAAGCCCGAACCAGCTTAAAACTGGTTTCAACTGTGGTTTGTGGAAAGCTGCAGAGATTGAACGATAGGCTTCCGATCTTTGTTCCCGTAAACCATAGTTTAAACCTGCCGCCGCAGGTGTTCCTGAACCTTTGTTTCCAAGACAGAAACTTTATTATTATTATTATTTTACAACGCACACTCACTCACTTACCAGTAGGGCCAAAAGTACAAGAACTCAGATTAGTTGATGGGAGGGAATTGTTACTCTGCTCAACCTGGGCCTTTAAAAGGAATGGAGAGAGAGAGAGAGAAAGAAAGAGAGAGAGAGAGAGATTAAGACAACCATGGTACAGAAAGAACTGTGGGGGCTTGGATAAACAGTACAGTGGTACCTCGGGTCACAGACACTTCAGGTTACAGACTCCGCTAACCCAGAAGTAGTACCTCGGGTTAAGAACTTTACCTCAGGATGAGAACAGAAATCATGCAGCGGGGATGCAAGGCTCCATTAGCTAAAGTGGTACCTCAGGTTAAGAACAGGTTAAGAACGGACCTCCGGAACGAATTAAGTTCTTCACCAAAGGTACCACTGTATCCACGAGACGCCCCAAACATAAGCTAATTCTTGTTCCTCTTGTCCTTTTAAGATGCTCCTCTCCTCCCACAGGAGAAACCCACTCCTGTACAGTGGTACCTCGGGTTAAGAACTTAATTTGTTCCAGAGGTCCGTTCTTAACCTGAAACTGTTCTTAACCTAAGGTGCCACTTTAGCTAATGGGGCCTCGCATCCCTGCCATGCGATTTCTGTTCCCATCCTGAAGCAAAGTTCTTAACCCGAGGTACTATTTCTGGGTTAGCGGAGTCTGTAACCTGAAGCGTATGTAACCCGAGGTACCACTGTAAGGGCCACGCTGTTAAGGGTTTGTCTGCGCCTCAGTTGTGGACATGTTACGATGCTACACAAGACTGCACATACCACTTTGCTGGGCTGCCCAGGGTGATCCGAGCTGGGCTCACTGAAGTTGGGCACTTCCGAGTACACCATGCAGAACCTGCAAAGAAAAACAAGCTCGTGAGAGGGAGTGTAGAGATTTCTTTCCTCAGCTGTCCTCATCCCACTTCATTTCCAGGGACCAGTGCATGCCTTGTTTTAAATTCCAGAGCCGCCACCCCTCAGTAAGGGCATTAGCACCAGATGCTTGACCTCACTCCCATCCCAGAAACTAGACCAGGAGATATGAACAGCTCTACACATGCTCCACTTGGAAGTCCATCCTATCGATTCCGACGGAACTTGCACCCAAATAGGTTGAAGCTCCAAGCACGCGTAAAGGTTGTCCCCGCTGCTTCCTTTTGCAAGACCGCAAGTCAGCAGGTGGGTCACGCTTAACAGTCTATTCGTCTTCATAAAGGATACACAGCAAATATTCGATTCCTCGCCATAAAAGATACACAGCTGCAAACACTTATGACCAAGTCTTGCTGAATTAAAGAGGAGCTTTCATCGAACGAAGCACGTCTAGAATCAGACCATGCAAAAGATGTCAGTGGCAAGAACCGATTGCAGAAGTTTACAAAAAACCAGGAAGGCCTAAGAACGGCAAATCCATAACGAAGGCTGCAATCCTGTACTGTTAAGTTCCAACGAAGTCGAACGCTGCAAAGCAAGAGTTGTTCCGCATTGCAGTGCGCCGTGCTATAAAGTAGGGCCCAACATGGAACCAGCCAGGCAATTCTCAAGCATTTCTCAATCTGGAGAAAATTTAGCTCCAGGTTTGTCGAGTGGCATTTGTCACCATCAGAAACATCTTGGTGGCCTGCTTTGCATTTTAAGCTAAAGGAACCACAGGCGTCAAAACAGAACCAACCGTGACTCCCGGTTATTGTTTGTTCGATGCACCTTATTCTGTTTTTAAAATAATTCCAGCTGCACAAGCAACACTCCACATTAACTACCGGGTGCAATCCACCTATGTCGGAGCACAGCTCCCACCAGCAGAGCCATTTGGACTGGGGATGATGGGAATTGAAGTCCAGTTAAGGTGGCGCCAGGTTGAAGACTGATCTAGCTACACTTAAGTCAGCTACATTCCAGAATCTTACACTAATCCTCTCAAAATGATATCACTCAGGATGACGAAAAGCATTTTTTTTAAAAAAAAATCTTGCAGTAATTTATTTTGAGATTAAAACATTCCAACGTCATTCAAATTAAGAGGCGATGGGGCAATAATTTTATGCAGTGATGGGAAATAAGATTTATTTCCTGAGTTAGTACTAACCCTAGACTATCCCCCCTGACATTCCAATTTTGGGAAACACTCCCAATATAGCAGAAGCTAATACACCAGGCATAGGCAAACTCGGCCCTCCAGATGTTTTGGGACTACAACTCCCATCATCCCTGGCCACTGGTCCTGTTAGCTAGGGGTGATGGGAGTTGTAGTCTCAAAACATCTGGAGGGCCGAGTTTGCCTATGCCTCTACATTATGAAAATGGCCTCAATTATGAATAATCAGATATCACTTTCGGCAGATCAGACCACAAACGCTGCCATGCATAGCCTTAAACAGACGATGTCTAACTTTCTGTGGCTAAGAGCCACAGCTCAGCAACAGAACATCTGCTGGGCATGTAGAATGCCAAAGGTTTAATCCCTGGTGTTTCTAGGGAGAGCTGCCATAGACCCCTGCCTTGAAACCCTGGGAAGCCAGCCAATCAGAGTGGATAATAGTGAGCTAAATGGACCAATGGCCTGGCTCCCCAGCATAAGGCAGGTTCCTACGTCCTCCTCCTACAGCTGTAAGGTTTTCACAACATTCCTCCGCATTTTGGCCTGGTTCACCCCGAATGAACATTGCAGGCGCCTGGGGGGGGGGGGTGCGGGATACAGGAAGTTGTGACTATCTGATGCAATGAAGCGTTATTCCGCGATTGCCCATCCACACAAGCACAGGCGCCCAGGTAAACCAGTCCCCAAAGTGACACATTCCAGCTTGCCAACAATGCTCAGCTCTCCGCTTCCAAACTTTCCATTACGGGTCTCGACAGACTGCCTGGTCACGACGGAGGCATATGCTCGAGAAAGCAAAGCAGCAGCATTTGCCCGTGACATCTTAGACCGCCATCACCCCAGAGGCTCTAGCTCGACAGAAGGGGGAAATTTACCTTTACACCCCTAGAGAGGCTGGCTCCCGCAGGAAAAGGCTGGAGCTCATTACCAGAGCCAGACTGTAGAAGCCTCTACCGTACCTAGCCTGTGGATTAAATAGAGGACTTCAGTTTTCGGCGCTGCAAGTCCTAGAAAACGACAATGCGTTAACCCACAACAAAGGAGACAGCTTAGGCGGCTGAACACTTACCTGTTCACAGGTGTACTTAAGTCAAGGCATTCAGGCCAGATGGATGCATGGCTGAGCAAGCCGTCTGTTACATAAGCAGGGTTCCCCGCACGCTTGTCGGAAAAAATAATATTGACATCGAGGAAAGCCAAACTGATCGGGAACAAGGCTCTTTGGGCAGAGAGTACTTTGCTAAACCCCAGAAAGCAACGGCAGGTTGGGCAGACGCTTGCAAGGCGGCATTTGATACCTACCGCTCCAGCCTGCGAAGCGCAAGGCTTCGAGAGCAACCGAGCGCATGTGCAAAGCGAGATACTCACTCCCCAATTTTCTGAAGCTCGCCTCCCCTTCCGGTGTAAAGCGTGAGACATCCTTTCCACAGAGACGCGTACCTAGCCAAGAGAAACACCAGACGCGTTAGAAGGCACCGGGAGGGGGAATGTAATTAATGTGATCAGGCTTGACCAGGGTTTGGGTTTTGATGGGGGGGAGGGGGTTGGGTTAAGCACATCTTCCTCTCAGAAAATCCAATGGGGGAGTGGACCACACACACCACCAAAATCAATAGGACTTTAGCGCTAACCTTAAATGTGCAGCTTTCAGATTTCGCCAGCAAGGCAGCTTCTGGCAGGTCATTTCTTCCTTTCTTTTTTGAAATTGTTTTTGTTTTACAGATATAAATTTATTAACAAAACCAAATACATATCCATATACAGTGGTACCTCTAGTTGCAGACACGATCTGTTCCGGGGTGCCGTTCGCACCCCAAAAAGTCCGCAACTAGAGCGGCGCTTCTGCGCATGCACAAAGCGCACAGGACGCTTCTGGGCGTGTGGCGAAACCTGGAAGTATACACTTCTGGGTTTGCCGCGTTCACAACCCGAAAAGCCGCAACGTGAAGCAAACACACCAAGAGATATGACTGTAGAGAGATTTCTCTGAATTTCAAGTCTTCCCATCCCCTCCATGGGTCCTACAGTCAACGTTTTCAACTGCATATTATTTCATAGTCTATATTTTATCTCTCTCCATATTGTCCTTAGTATTTGTTACATTACAAGTGGGATTAAAATCCTGCTAATGTTTTCATCTGCTTACCTCCTAAATAAATTATAATTTTTTCCCCATTCTTTCTTGAAGTTTTTGTACTCACAGGTTATTTCTTAGTCAGATGCTCAAACCTTTATTGGCCTATGTACATGATTCCAGTAGGGTTCAACACAAACAAACAGCAACCCAATCATTACAAAACAGCAACACTGCAACTAATGTTTAAGTTAGTGTTGTACAGCATCCACAAACCCTTATTCCTAACATTAGGAAAGCCACCTTGCATTTGTCTGAATTCCACTCCCTACAACCAACCAACCTAGATCGAATTGTCTGATACCAGACGGAGGCAGTACAAAAGAACATGTGCAACTGGCGACAAAAAAAGAGTGGCAAGATAAATTATTTGACGGTATTGAATAGGCTAGATTGACAGAAGCCATTAGGGGTCAGCCCAAGCAAAAAATTCAAAAAGAATGGGGAAAATATAGAGAATACCTGAAAAAGCAGTGCCCTCAAATTAATACTTGGACTTGTTTCGATTTAACTTCTGCAAAATAAATCATGGTATAAAAGCTAAAAATAGAAAGAAAAAGGAGTAATAATGAACTAAGAAGGAGACAGCTTATCAAAAACGAAAAGAGAACCGTGTTGAGGATGAAGGAAGTCAACTGGAAAAAAAGAAGAATTGAAATTACAGTGGTACCTCAGGTTACATACGCTTCAGGTTACAGACTCCGCTAACCCAGAGATAGTGCTTCAGGTTAAGAACTTTGCTTCAGGATGAGAACAGAGGTGCTTCAGGTTAAGAACAGTTTCAGGTTAAGTACAGACCTCCGGAACGAATTAAGTACTTAACCTGATGTACCACTGTGTGTGTGTGTGTGTGTGTGTGTGTGTGTGTGCGCGCGCAGTTGATTGTTTGATCTGTGTAAACTTGTGTATGTTATGTTTTATTTGTCTTTCATTGTTTTTTGTTCTTTGTTTTCGATTGTGCATTTTTGTGAGTGTATGTGTTGTAAAATAAACTTAAATGAAAAGAAAAAAGAACATGCGCAACTGGTTCCATTGTCTAATCCCTTTTAGTACAGCTACTGCTAGTATGACAATACTTGCAGCATCCATGCTTTCTCCTGGAATGCCATTAAAAAAAAGTAGTTTCCTTCACTTTAAAGCAGCATTGCGGGAACATCTGGAGGGTCTATCTCCTTCAAAACATGCTGAAAATTGTTCAGCCACTTAATCCTAACAGCAGAGCTGACACAAGACACCAGCAGCTTAATTTTTAGCAGGTGTTTTATTGCAGCTCTGATCTACCCATAGCTCTGCACATCAGGATTTTTATTTTTTTTTGCTACTGTATAGCCAAAGGTTTTGCACAGTTGTGAGGGCTGGAGGGTTAAAGCTCTAGTTCAGATGAAGTTAGGCACATTTAAGTGCCACGACAATCGGTGGGATTTCAATTGGCCACAAGTAATTGGTCCCACTGATCTCAATGGTATGTCAGCATGACCAACTTTTAACCGAGTCGGGAGCATTTATTAAAAGCCATTTGCAACAACACACCAAGCGTTCTGCTGAAGCGCCCTGTGTGACTTGCAAGATCATTCACTTTCATTACTACATTCTCTGAGTGTATGCATGATTTGTCCCTCTCTTGTACATGTGCATAGATGTATAAACACGAAAAGAGCACAAATCAAACATTGTCAAATGGGGACTTGAGACACTACTGGGGTAGAGAAACAAGAAAGCTTCCATTTATTGCAAGCGCAACAAAAGACATCCTTTGGCAGAATTCCCTATCTCCCACAAGTAAATCCTTTATACGTAGTGAATATTTGCCTGCAAGAATGAAAGTTTGTTTTGATTCATGTGCATGACCTTCAAACTTCAACTCATGTGCATGACCTCCAGCGGTTTTGGGACTACAACTCCCACCATCCCTTGCTAGCAGGACCATTGGTCAGGGATGATGGGAATTGTAGCCCCAAAACAGCTGGAGACCCAAGTTTGGAAACCCTGTTTAGTTGTCCCTCTGTTTTGCATTTGGCAAAAAGGAAGAAAGAGAAAAACAGTTGGTTGCTGGTTAAAAACCAAAGTTTGAAGGTCATGCACATGAATCAAAACAAACTTTCATTCATGCAGGCAAATATTCACTATGTATAAAGGATTTACTTGTGGGAGATAGGGAATTCTGCCATTCTTGGGTCTCCAGCTGTTTTGGGGACTACAACTCCCATCATCCCTTGCTACCAGGACCATTGGTCAGGGATGATGGGAATTGTAGTCCCAAAACAGCTGGAGACCCAAATTTGGGAAACCCTGAACTAAATGATGCGAGGGGAAATGACGTTTGGATTTTCACATTGCACTTATAACTACCTTCCCCCACAGGTTGGGAGACCTGCTCAGTTACAGTTTGGCTCTTAAAAGATCATTAACAAATGCAATTTTTATTTATAAAGCTAGTAAATGGACCTGTTCCTGAAGTTTGGCAATAAACCACTAGTAGGCATCCAAAATACTGTCTGCCTCTCTGCCACTAGTGTTTCTAAGGCTGTCACACAGACTGCTGGCACAAGCGGTATACGTTTTATCGGTGTCCAAACAAGTAAGCCAGCCACTCTATATTAGCTCCACCCGTCAGTCACGTATTAGTTCTGCTAAGATGACGCAAATGGAAAGTGACCTTAACACGGCATTTTGTGCCAAGTTGTAACTTGAAGAGATTACAAATGAGCCCAGGGGTGAAATCCAGTGGCATGTGCATGCAATATAGGCAACCAGGAACTCTCCATATGGCCTTAAATAAGCAGCCATTGTTGTATTTTGCACTGAAACCAATAATTAACGTTCTTGCTAGCCTGGCTAGAATGCAACACTGAGCCATGGTTTATGGAACTATGGCTTAGTGTTGTGAGCAAACCCGGCCCAGCAATTTAGCTGCGGTTTGTTTTTTGCCAAGAAACCATGGTCTGAAGCCATGGGTTGCTTGTTGACATTAAAAAAAACACCTTGGTTTGTTTTAACTACAGCTTGGTGTTATGCCATGAACCCAGCCCTCTTCCTTAACCATGGTCTCTTTTGCCATCCCATCACAAATGCTCACCAACTTTCAAAGGCATAAGGAAGAAGACGAAGAGAAGATTTTGGATTTAATATCCCGCTTTATCACTACCCGAAGGAGTCTCAAAGCGGCTAACATTCTCTTTTCCCTTCCTCCCCTACAACAAACATTCTGTGAGGTGAGTGGGGCTGAGAGACTTCAGAGAAGTGTGACTAGCCCAAGGGCACCCAGCAGCTGCATGTGGAGGAGCGTGGAATCGAACCCAGTTCACCAGATTACGAGACTTCCGCTCTTAACCACTACACACACACACACTGGAAAGAAACCAAACTTTGGATAATCAAAGTTTGCTTTGTGGGACAGCTCATGATGATCTTACAGTTTGCAAAACAACCCATGGTTTAACATTATGTACCAAGTGGGCCACTGTGAGTTACTTTTTTGTGTTTGTCACATTTGTATCTAAGCCTTCTCCCAAAGAGCTCTAGGTGAGAGGTTGTCATTTTGTCTCCAGGAGAAGCCTGTGAGCTAGGTGTGGTTTTAGACAGGGAATAATTTGACCCACGGTCACTCAACGAACTTTATCGTTGATCATAGGTCAGCCCAGTCTAATTCCAACAAACAATATTCACTCACCATCCTAGCAGGATGTGTGGCCTTGGGGACATTGCTTGCTCTCTGCCATTGTTATCATACACCTCATTAATCCAAAGGAAAAGGAACCGTTAAAGGGGTTATTTTAGCTTCTTTGATTGGCTTTCAGGTGACTATGGGAATCTGCCATCACCATGTGAGGAGGGAGAAGTTATGGCCCTAAGGAGGTTTTTAATGTTTTATGTTTTACTATGAAGAGAAGACGCCCTGGAAAAGACCCTGATGTTGGGAAAGATTGAGGGCACAAGGAGAAGGGGATGATAGAGGACGAGATGGTTGAACAGTGTTCTCAAAGCTACCAACATGAGTTTGACCAAGCTGCGGGAGGCTGTGGAAGACAGGAGTGCCTGGCGTGCTCTGGTCCATGGGGTCACGAAGAGTCGGACATGACCAAACAACAACAATGTTTTTGTATGTACTGTAAGCCATCCAGAGTGGCTGGGAGAAAATTATTATTATTATTACAATTATTATTAAGAATAATAATAATAATACTTTTGCACAGACTAAATTGTAGCTCACAATGGGAATTCTATGTCTCTTGAACACATCCCATTTCACTCTTTTAAGAAATGATTACGCTTCCCTTTAAGATCAGACTATAGACTTTTGCAAAGAGGGTATTATTTTCACAGACAACGCTTGGTGCTTACAGTTTCAACATCATTCACAATAAAAGTACCTAGCGCTTTAGAATACCTTTGCATGTTCAAAGCAGATTGCAAACATTATCTCAGGAATCCTTACAACCTGCCTGCAAGGTAGGTCATAGAACATAGGCAAATGTGACCTCCTTTGCTGAAACCTAGAAAGCTCTCGCACACAAAATACAGGCAGGATTTTCTCTCTCTCTCTCAGAAATACAGCATTAAAGGCCACCACCAATCTGAAACCTTTAAAATATTAAAACAAAAGCAATTGATCAACCCTCTGTGAGTGCAAGTAAATACACTTTTGGTTTTTAATTGTGTTTAAAAAAGCAATTTGACATGGCAATCCCAGCGATCCACCAGCGTTCCTCTGGACTGCGTTTGTCACATGAAAATATAGCAGATGCTTTTCCTACTAATTGCTAGTTCTGCTTCTCTTCATGCTAAAGAAAGCCAACCTCTCCGCTGCGCACGGTGAGAGCTCATCGAAAGAGGAAGCAGAAAGAGTTGGTTGCTTTTTTAAAAAATTACATTGCGTTGAACCCTCGGTCCCCTAACAGATCAGATTTCAAAGCAGCATACAAGGCCATGCTGGCGTTCGTGACTTGTTAAGGCTTGTGCAAGCAAGCTCAGCTACGGCTTTGATTATCCAGAAGGAACATGCTCAGATCCACAGATCCTATTCTGCTAGGGAGACAGGGAAGAGGCTGGGGATAGCTGGCCCTGAGATTTTAACTGTGTAACAAGCCATATATTGAGCCACTTAACACACTTTAAGTGTGCACCCTTTAAAATATAATAATCCTGAAGTATGACTGGTTTGCTTCTCGGGAAATCTGTGCTCCTGCCTCGTCATGTGACCAGGGATATATAAGCCAACCTAGGCCTTGCATGACACCAGAGGTGAATTGTGTGCCTGTCATACAGGTATGGCACGCAGACAATTTAGATGGGTGAAGTGTTTGGAAGCAGATCCCTGTGGGCTGGGGAAACACTAAATGTTACCAACTGCAAAACCGCATGAATGAGTTGGAATGTTGCAGCGTTAATTTTTGTAATAATGAAAAACCGGGGCCTGGGGGACAGGAAGGTGTTTATGCAGCAGCTGCAAGTTGGGAGCGCAGTTTTTCTTCTGCGGAACTCCAAAACAGCCCCTACCCAAAGAAGTAATCTGGTTGCAGGGGGGGAGAAGAAAATTCCCCTGGCTCACACTGTGCCTTAAAGTCTTCTCTCATCTCCACAGGACTTTTTAGCACGGCACAAAGTGTGGGTTCTGCTTCAGCTATTACTGAACCCACTAAAATAAGCCAAATGACTCTTGGCCTCTCCAGCTCAAAACAGAACGTACAGGAAAAGAGGGCGTCTCATTGCTTCCTTTAAGGAAAATAAGAAGCCATCAGCTTTTAAGAGATGACTCATCGACCAGTGTGGTCAAGGCTGCATCCTTGTGAGCCAAGCCGGATGTGACAGCAGCAAACCCATCTGTTTAAATCCTGGATCTGCCCCAATCATGTTCAAAGGAAGGGAAGGAGGGGCAAGGAGAACTGAGGAGTGGGCCTTGCTTCCCCACGTGGTTCCCTCTAAATCTAGCATCTGTAGAGAGGCGAGTGAGTTTGGGAAGGGGGGCTGGAAACGTCCCCTTTGCTTTAAAAGCTAGGCCCCGACAGATGTCTAAGGTCAGAAGAAGAGCATGCGCACACTCTGCGTGCAGGTCGCCCTAGGAGCACAGGTAAGCTGTCAAGTCAAACTGAAGGAGCGTCTCCATCCCCATCGTTCTGCCCGGACACTGAGGTCCAGCGCCGAGGGCCTTCTGGCAGTTCCCTCGCTGCAAGAAGTGAGGTTACAGGGAAGCAGGTAGAGGGCCTTCTCGGTAGTGGCACCCGCCCTATGGAACGCCCTCCCATCAGATGTCAAGGAAGCACATGCTCCAGAGCCCTTCCCTGCCGGTCAGAGGAGATCCACTGCCAGTCAGAGGAGGCCAGGGTTGAAATCCCCACTCAGCCATGAAGCCCCTTGCTTTCTCCTGCCCCAGAGGCTAGGACTCAAGTAAATGGATTCAAGTGGCTAGAAAGCGGAATGGGAGGGAATATGCTTTCTTTGCACTTGAACCCATTGATTTGGGTCCTAGCCTCCAGGGGCAGGAGAAAACAAGGAGCTTGCTTGCTTAACCCACTATGACGGCCGCAGCTAAGATTCCTGCATTGCATCTGAAGGCAGCCCTGTTTAGGGAAGTTTTTAATGCTTTATTCTGTCGGGAGCCGCCCAGAGTGGCTGGGGAAACCCAGCCAGATGGGTGGGGGTCTAAATAATGAATTATTATTTACTTATTTTATTACTATTGCAGGGGGTTGGACTAGATGACCCTCGGGGTCCCCTCCAACTCTACCATTCTACGACTCAATGGGTGACCAGTCACGGCCTCTCAACCAGACCTACCTCACAGGGTTGTGGTTGTGGGGATTAATGGAGCAGGGGGAGAACCGTACTTGCCATACCTGGAGCTCCTTGGGAGAATTGGGTGGGGTTTTAAATGCAATAAATAATAATAAAGGACCCAGCAAAAGGCAAAAGGCAACTTCCTCTATATACACACAGCAAGGGGAAATGAGCACGCTGGTTTCACCTCTAATCTGGCCCCACTGAGATGTTGTTTTCCCTTCCCCTCCTCCTGCCACACCAATTGCGATTCTAAGAAAGGGAGAGGAAGCCCAAAGCGTTAACAGGAACACACTGAGTCAGCCAGTTGCTTCAGCAACGAAACAAAAGAGCGGCTGGGCAGAGGCCGCTCGCTCGGCCTAACCCCACTGTCGGAAACACATACATACCCTTTGGTCAACCGGATAATATCTCCCGGCTGAATGAGGCTGCCAAGTTCATCCCACACTGAGATGAGGATGCTGCCTGACTTGTCGGCTACTTTGCACGACCGCACTTCATGTCCATCTTTGGTTTTAGTGACGCGGCCTGCAAGGGAATATGGAAAGGGGGGGGAGTAGGGGAGGGGAGAGAAAAAGAAAGGTGGTTTGAGCAAACGTCCTTAGAACAAGGGGACAACATCCTTTTGAAAATGCAACTTTGCCTGGGCGCGAAAGGACCTGCAACTTTCGCCAAAGCCCAGGGAAGGAGCCACTCTGGACCCAAAAAGTGGGTCTACTTAAGGACAGATTTAGAGAAAGCGGACTCAACTCTTTTCCCTGAAAAGTGGACACGTGTCAACTCCTCTCTCTCTCTCTCACACACACACACACATTTGCACAACTAGAACGCGGGCCAAGGAAGTCGGGGAGTGAAAAACAAACAAAAGCACGACAGTTCCACGGGACCCCACTTACCGATCTCTAGCACAATAAAGATGACATTTAAATTTTTCAGTCCGGCCCTTATGTCTTTTATGAGGAGGTATGTTTCGTTTGCCATGCTCATGCTGCTTTGCTTTTCAGGAGGAAGGCACGGGCGCTGCTGGGGCAGAGTGAGCAAGACAAAGCTCCCCCTTAGCCGAGAGGGACACTTGGAAAACAGGGCAGGGGTGGCAGGAGCTGTGGCGGGGGGGGGATTAGACGAGATCGGGTTTGACCAGCCCTTGGAGAAGGCAACAGTAATGTGCAATATACTCTGGGGAGGTCGGCGGGGAAGCGTGTTTATGAGGAAGGAAGGAGGCACCCACGGCGATCCCTCTTCTCTGAAACTCTTAAGCTCGCTTCTCCCTCTCTCAGCTGACCACACAAGCCTCGTAAGGCTGGACGGGTGAAGGAGGGAGCCGGGGCGCTGTGATTAAAACAGGCACGGGGCTTGGCTGCTGCTGCTGCTTTCGCCGCCGCCGCCGCCCCTACTGGCGAACGAGAAAAGGCACCTTCGCTATAGGCTCCCTTTTCCTCCCCTCTGCAAGAAAATCGGGGCGCTCTTTTTCTCTTATGACTATTATTGCACAGCGAGTAAGGGGCTTCCTCCTCCTCCTCCTCTCCAACCCCCCCAACTCGCCAGCTGCCCCGCACCCCAGCGCCACTTTCACACAAGCGCGCAAACACGCCGCTTCGCCCTCCAAGCGCGCTCGCCCTCCGTCTAAAAGAAGCATGTGCCGGCGCCGTCGTTTTATATCCAGCCGGGCTGGACCATTTCCTCCGCGCGGGGGGGTGGGAAAGCAAAGTCGCGTCGAAAGGTACGGAAAAGAGCGGCGGGGAAAAGGGAGTCAGAGACGAGCTCCAAGGCCTCGTTGTTTGGATCCTGCTGCGCCGGAGCGGTTCTGCTCCGTGGCCCCACGGCGCCGGAGAAGCGCAAGGAGGGCGAGGAAGCCTCCCCCCCCGAAAAATGGAATGGTCCGTGGAACGCGGAGACACCAGAATGGAACTGAATGTGACAAAGTGCCCCGTAAGAGGCGCTGATTGGTTGGCCGCGATTCTTTTGTGCTCTGACCTAGAATATTTACAGTCGCTCGCCCTCCCGTTTCCCTCTTTTCCCCCTGCCTCGCTCTCGGGGGCAGGATCGAGCCTGTCCCGCCGGGAGGCAGGACTGCAAGCTCATCATGAGCCTCGGGGAAGGCTCGCTGAATGGCTGGCTGTTGCCTTTTAACGCGCTGCTGATTCCCCCCACCCCCAACCAACATCACCAAGGCTGGGGGAGGTGGGGGCTGCGATCATTTCCCCCGCCCCGCATCCACTTTATATTTTATTTTTTCGAAAGGATTCCTCGGGAAACCGCTTGCAACGGGATTTCGTTTGTGCGCGCGTTTACTTCCCTACCCCTCTTTCTGTTTCCTTTCTCCTCCTGTGAAGAGGCTGGATCCCAATGTTGTAATGTTGTATCTTAATCTTTTAAATCGTATTTTAATCAACTTGTTTTTTTTATTGGTTGTTAGCCGCCCTGCGCCCGGTCTTGGCTGCGGAGGGCGGGGTAAAAATAAATTATTATTATTATTATTATTATTATTATTATTATTAATCTATAATGCGGGATATGTTTGATTGGAAGAGGACGTGGGGAATCAGATTGTGCTGTTCTTAAAGGAAACTAACTGAGCCATAAAGCATTTTAAAGCAAAGGAGGCCGTGTGGGTCAGTCCGTGAGAGAGAGAGCGAGCCCCGGTTAGGCACAGCACCTTTATCAGCAGTGACCTCCCCAAAAATGCCCACAAAATAGCTAGTGAGCCTTCGCAGTGTTCAGAACTCTTCATCCAGCACAGGGGTCTGCAACCTTTAAGACAAAAAGAGCCACTTGGACCCGTTTCCGAAGAAAAAAAACTGGGAGCCGCAAAACTCGTCATTATAAAAATAACTTTTTTGTCACTTTTTTATTATTTCTTTGTTTGACCACTCAGAATTACTCCTCCTCATAGAAATAAACGTTAAATTAACAAGTTACCTTTTTTGTGTGTGTGTTCTTCACTCCCCTTCAAAACAGTGACCAGCATACATGCCCCCTTTCAATGCAGTGACCAGCGTACATGCCCCTTACAATGTAGCAGGCGGGCGGGAAGGTGACGTCAGGACGGTGCGTGACTATCGCATGCACCGCCCCCATGCGACATCACAGCCAGTACAGCGCCCGCCACAGTGGGGAGTGTTGGGGCGCACAATGCGCCTCCTCCCCTCACTAGTATCCGCCCCGGAGCCGCGGCAAAGGTGTAAAAGAGCCACATGCAGCTCTGGAGCCGCGGGTTGCAGACCCCTGATCCAGCAGAATGATAAACGGTATTTATGCATCTCAGATCATCTTCCAAATTGCTCTGCCCATTCCATCGCTAGGTTCTTCATGTTCACCATCCTCCCTCCTGCCCTCTTAAAGGTAAAGGGGCCCCTGGCTGTTAAGTCCAGTCGCGGACGACTCTGGGGTTGTGGCACTCATCTTGCTTTACTGGTCGAGGGAGCTAGCGTTTGTCCGCAGACAGCTTCCGGGTCATGTGGCCAGCATAACTAAGCCACTTCTGGCGAACCAGAGCAGCGCACAGAAACGCCGTTTACCTTCCCACCGGAGTGGTACCTATATATCTACAGTGGTGCCTCGCAAGACGAAATTAATCCGTTCCGCGAGAGTCTTCGTCTAGCGGTTTTTTCGTCTTGCGAAGCAAGCCCATTGACGGATTAGCGCTATTAGCGCTATTAGCGGTTTAGCGGCTATTAAAGGCTTAAAGGCTTAGGGGATTAGCTGCTAAAAGGCTATTAAAGGCTATTAAAGGCTTAGCAGATTAGATAAAGGGGGGGGAAAGCGAAAAAATAATCTCAAGACTCGCAAGGTATTTTCGTCTTGCGAAGCAAGCCCATAGGGGAATTCGTCCTGCGAAGCAACTTCAAAACGGAAAACCCTTTCGTCTAGCGGTTTTTCCGTCTTGCGAGGCATTCGTCTTGCGGGGCACCACTGTACTTGCACTTGACGTGCTTTTGAACTGCTAGGTGGGCAGGAGCAGGGACTGAGCAACCGAGCTCACCCCGTCATGGGGATTCGAACCGCCAACCTTCTGATCGGCAAGTCCTAGGCTCTGTGGTTTAACCCACAGCACCACCTGCATCCCAAACCTGCCCTCTTAGTCACCTACTAATGGTCACCTGTTTGTTTTTCTATGCCTTAGGAAGGGACCTCTAATTTCAAAGTCACTCCCATGCCAGGGTAACACCACTACCATGTGGGCTTTCATAAGTGCGGTTTTTGCAGCAGAAGTCATAGGTCGGCTCCAGACTGCCGGTATTTTGTAGGAGAGATTCAATCCAAACTGGAAATTTAGGTTTGTGCAACTCAAGTGTCGTGGCGCAACAAACCCATCTTTCTTTTCAAAAGAATAACAGGTTTTGTGGTTCTAGATTCTGGTAGGTAGCCATGTTGGTCTGACACAGTCGAAATAAATAAAAAATTGTCCAGTAGCACCTTAGAGACCAACGAAGTTTGTTCTGGGTATAAGCTTCTGTGTGCAGGTTTTGTGGTTAGAAAAGATGCAGAAATGCACTTAAAATGAGTGGGATAAATGGTTGATTAATTAGAAGATGTATAACCACAAGCAAATCAGGATAAATTCAGGAAGAACGTTCATCATTTATATAATTTCCCAGCAAACAAAGTGCTCAGTAGACCAGATCTAGGGCTGTAGGAAATGTTAGTCATACCCAGGCCAACACTATACAGTGGTACCTCGGGTTACATACACTTCAGGTTACAAACGCTTCAGGTTACAGACTCCACTAACCCAGAAATAGTGCTTCAGGTTAAGAACTTTGCTTCAGGATGAGAACAGAAATCGTGCTCCGGCAGCGTGGCAGCAGTGGGAGGTCCCATTAGCTAAAGTGGTGCTTCAGGTTAAGAACAGTTTCAGGTTAAGTACGGACCTCCGGAACAAATTAAGTACTTAACCCGAGGTACCACTGTACATTTAAAGCAGTATCATCTCCACATAGCTACAGTTCCCCGAGTAGTTTAGCAACCCCTCTTCCCAGGGAACTCTGGGAATTGTAGATGCCACTTAGTTAACATATGAGGTGAAATTTGAACACGGGAGACTGTTAATCAAAACCTGAAATGCTGCCCTTCTTCAGCAACAAATTGTGGTTCCCTTGGCGGGAGGGCGGAATCTGCTGGCGGCAAATTATTGCAGCATTCTTGCACAAAACCTTCCTGTTTTTCCTCCAGTTTGGCTCTCGTGCATTTTTTCTTTCAAGTCTGCTGGTCCTGTTTGTCCATTTGCCTGCCAGCCAGCAATATATGACAGATGTAAACACCACCTTCCTATCTGTGGTCTTATAATTATAATGCTTGTAGATGCACATGACTCTAGATTGCCATATTCAACTGCTACCCACAGGTGCGGTAAGGACATAAAAGAAATAGAAACAAGAGGCAAGGTGGTGGTGTTTTTTGAACCCACATTTATTATGCCATACAGTGCTATTTTTCTAGAAAAAGAGGTGCCAGAACTCACCATGAACGCCTCCCTCATTCTCTTGGAATGGCAACGGCACTCGCCAGAAGAAGTGCCACAACCCACCTGAGAGGTGCCGGAACTAAATTCCAGTGAGTTCCCCCTGAAATAAAGAAAGCCCTGCCTTCATTATTTCCAACCGCTCAGCTCCAAATACTTTGGATGCAACCCAGGACACCAAACACAGATGGCCGATACTCCAAGTGTCCCTGTTTACTAGGGACAGTCCCGGATTTACCAAAGCCGCCCCAGTTTCTGATTTGATCCTGGAATGTTCCGCTTTTCCTTAGGACGTCCCTATTTTCATTGGGAAAATGTTGGGGGCCATGGAGTTATGTGACCCCCGATCCAAGGGGTTAAGTAATTATACAACCTTTAAGAGACATCTATAAAGGGTACGGGTTTTTTATGTTTAATGTTTTATTATGTTTTTATATGCAGTGGACACTCGGGTTGCGAACGTGATCCGTGCGGGATGCACATTCTCAACCCGCGTCGTTCGCAACCCACAGCATTTGCAACCCACAGTGGCGCATCTGCACACGCGCGGGTTGCGATTCGGCGCTTCTGTGCTTCTGCGCATGCGCAAAGGTCGATTTAGCGCTTTTGCGCATGTGCGACTGCCGAAACCCGGAAGTAAACCATTCCAGTACTTCTGGGTTTCGCCAGTCCGTAACCCAAAAAAATGCAACCTGAAGCGTCTGTAACCCGAGGTATGACTGTATGTTGGAAGCCACCCAGAGTGGCGGGGGCAACCCAGTCAGATGGGCGGGGTATAAATAATGAAGTTGTTGTTGTTGTTGTTGTTGTTGAATAGAGCCTCCTCCACTGATGAGTGCATGGGGCATTTTTCATGAAAACCTCTTAACTATATGTATTAGCACAGCTGCCTTGCTGGGTCCAGTGCTGAATTTACGTATAAGCTAAACAAGCTATAGCTTAGGGCCCCACTCTCTTGGGGACCCCCCAAAAAATTTAAAGGGAAAAAAACCTGGATGTACATTTCCAAAATATAAGATAAAAAAAATCCAAATAAAACCAAACCTACATACAGCAACAGTGTTTTGTGTTGTGTAAGCTCCTATGATGTAAGTAAGTGATGGCCAAGGTTGGCCATCACTGATGTAAGTAATGGGGCCGCCTGCTAGCCTCCTCCCTAAAATATCACTGGTTTCAGTTCAACAATTACTTTGATAAAATACAAATTTTGTTATGTGCAAATGGCTTTAGATACATATTAGGTCAGGCATAGGCAAACTTGGCCCTCCAGATGTTCTGGGACTACAACTCCCATCTTCCCTGACCACTGGCCTTGTTAACTAGGGATGATGGGAATTGCAGTCCCAAAACATCTGAAGGACCAAGTTTGCCTATGCCTGTATTAGGTCCATAAATTACCATACAACATATATGCAACACAAAAAACAGCAACAATTTGTTGTTGACAAAGGACAGCTGGACATATAAAGGGCCCCATTATCTTCAGTAGCTTAGGGCCTCCTCAAACCTATATCCGGCCCTGGCTGGGTCCCATATAAAAGGTAAAGGGACCCCTGACCATTAGGTCCAGTCATGACTGACTCTGGGGTTGTGGCGCTCATCTCGCTTTATTGGCTGAGGGAGCTGGCGTACAGCTTCCGGGTCATGTGGCCAGCATGATTAAGCCGCTTCTGGCGAACCAGAGCTGCGCACAGAAACGCCATTTACCTTCCCACCGGAGCAGTACCTATTTATCTGCTTGCACTCTGACGTGCTTTCGAACTGCTAGGTTGGCAGGAGCAGGAACCGAGCAACGGGAGCTCACCTCGTCACGGGGATTCGAACCACCAACCCACCAACCTTCTGATCGGCAAGTCCTAGGCTCTGTGGTTTAACCCTCAGCGCCACCCGGTTCCCAGGTCCCGGGTCCCATATAAGTGGCTGTAAATTTCATGAACATCACTGGAATATACTTCCCTTAAATGTGTTTTGGGTATAGACAGGAAATCCATAGATAATTTCATCCAAGGCTGACTCATAGGCTGTCTCTTTGCCCAAGGGCAGCGTGGTGGCGTTGAATATCAGTTGTTGGCAGAGCAACAGCAAGGACGGGCTACTGTCTTCAGACCCAAACATCTGCTTGGCTGCTATAGTATGCAGAATGCTGGACTAAACAGACCCCCTGTGTTTTTACCTGACAGGGCTTTCCTGGTGCCCTTGGCGTGAATGCAGTATTCTTACGGGATTAAATTTTGCACACTTCCTCCATTCAATTGAATATGCTAACTCTAGAGGGGATTTGAGAAAGAGGATGCTATTGCAATGTTGCAAAAAGGAGGGAAATCTTAAAATTATAGAAACGCTTCAGACAATTGTGTGACCACATGAATTCCCAGACTCTTAATTCATTTTCTTTCTAGGAAATGGAAATTAAATTAGAATGAATGATTTCTTGGGGAAACCTCTACCATTTCCTCATTGCATACCCTCCAACATTTCTCCAGTGAAAATAGGGCCGTCCTATTCCATAATAATAGTTTTACTATTTATATCCTGCCCACTCCGGGCGACTTCCAACATATTTTAAAAAAAAACCATAATAAAACATTAAACATTTAAAAACTTCCTTATACAGGGCTGGCTTGGAGATTGCATGACTCCATACTCTCCGACATTTCCACAGTGAAAATAGGGACACCCTACCTTAACTTCTGTGGGCTAAACCACAGAGCCTAGGACTTGCAGATCAGAAGGTCGGCGGTTCGAATCCCCACGACGGGGTGAGCTCCCGTTGCTCAGTCCCTGCTCCTGCCAACCTAGCAGTTCGAAAGCACATCAAAGTGCAAGTAGATAAATAGGTACCGCTCCGGCAGGAAGGTAAACGGCATTTCCGTGCACTGCTCTGGTTCACCAGAAGCGGCTTAGTCATGCTGGCCACATGACCCGGAAGCTGTATGCCGGCTCCCTCAGCCAATAAAGCGAGATGAGCGCCGCAACCCCAGAGTCGGTCATGACCGGACCTAATGGTCAGGGGTCCCTTTACCTTTCTTTACCTTACCTTACCTTCCAACATTTCTCCGATGAAAATAGGGACGTCCTAGGGGAAAGCGGAACATTCCGAGATCAAATCAGAAACTGGGACAGCGTCTGTAAATCCAGGACTGTCCCTGGAAAGTAGGGACACATGGAGAGTCTGTACATTGGAAAACACCAGAGTTTGGGGTGTTTTTTAAAGTTATGATGAATATAATCTTATAGCATGAACTTCCAAAGCAATGATCAGCAGTGCTTTGCATTGCAGGGGGTTCTGTGTATTCTATGTATGCTTCTAAGTTTGCCACCCAAACATTTAGGGTAGGCTGTTATTACTAGGCAGATGTAGGCCATCTAGTTGTTGCGCTCCAAGGGATCCAAATGATGGGTTTAATTAATGCATATTTCATAAGAGGAGTCAAACTACTTCCTATTTGTGACACCTCCTAACAGGAGTTAAACAACTTCCTATTTGTGTGGCATTTCTTACTGGAAGAAATCAAAGGTTTTGCTTTTACCTGCCAGTTTGACCTTGAGCTCCCCGCCCTCCTTGGGGATCTCTTTCAGGCCTTCTTTGCCAGGGCAACTCCTTTGCAGAGAGACAAACCCAGCTTGCCTTTAAAATGCACATTAGGATAAACCACGATGCTAATTTGTATTAGCATAAAATATTTCGGCTTCGCTTTTCCTTTCAAGTCGAGGGCCTATTTCCATAATCCAGACAGTCTGAACTCGCTCAAATGTTCTGTGTGTTCTTGGCACACACAAAAATTGGTTCTGCACATTTGAGCTGTGCGCAGCTGATTTGAAAAGATTTAGAATTGAAAGCAGGGGTGGTGGGCAGCCTGTAGCCCTCCGGATGTGGTTGAGCTTCAGTTCCCATCATCCTTGGTAGCTGGGCCTGATGGGAGCTGGAGTCCAAGAACATCTGGAGGGCCAGATGTTCTCCATCCCCAGATCTGAAGGAACTTCTGAAGCAAGTCAAGGGAGGAAATGATGAAAAGTTTCAAAGCATACAATGCCTCGTTCTTTCATATGTGGTGGACCTGTAAAAGGGTAAAAGAGTATTGGGAAATAATTTATAATGAATTGGAAGGGGAATGTTGAAAAGTACCTTTCAAAAAACAAAACAGAGTCTTTTTTGTTGGGGGTTTTTCAGACAGATATTCCCAGGTGTCAAAAAAAGGTTATTTATGTATGCCACTACTGCAGCCCATGTTTTGTTAGCCCCAAAATGGAAAACGAGCAAGGTCCCAGCTAAAGAAGAATGGCAACTTAAACTGATGGAATATGCACAGCTTGCAGACCTAACTCATAGAATAAGAGAACAAGAAGAATATACGTTTAAAGAAGACTGGGAAATGTTTATTGAATGTATGGGGGGAAATTGTGCACACTTGAAAACTTTGGCAGCGTTAAGATAAATTCAACAGTGTAAATAAGTTTTGATGGATGTAATAATGGAATGCTGAGTGGTTTAGTTTATATAGAACATGCAGGGCTTTATGTTATGCAAAATGAACCATGGAAAGAGAAGAAGGGAAGTCTTTGATATTTTAAGGTTGTTTATATGAATATTCTAAATTGTAAAACAGAAAAATGAATAAAAATTATATATAAAAAACTAAGTATACAATGCCTCAAGAGGTAGCTCCACCTGGGAATTCTGGACATAATGGAAGAGGTAAGGGTTTTGGATTGTCATAAAAGATGCGAGAGGAAAGGATTAATAGGAAAGGACCCACAAAGGGGAAGATGGAAGTACAGGAGATTCCTTGGAATCTTGTTTTTATGATTGATGTGTGATATATTTCTGTGAATTTTTCATTTGAAAAGCCAAATAAATAAATTTTATGTATAAAAAAAGAGAAGAATGTCATTGGGAATTCCTCCATAAAGTGGAAGCAGGATATATAATCCATCCCCTGAAGAAGAGAAACTGAAACCTCCTCAAATTTCCCAGTGTTGATATCGAAGCTGGACTGACCAGTTCTGGGACCACAAGGGTCTTGGCACTGCTGATTATGCACAGGAAGACATAGCGCATGACACTCCCAGCCACTTCACAATACCTGTGTGAGTAGTGATGACTTCGAAGCCAAGCCCTCAGTGGGCACATGGGGAGTGAAAGTCTAGAGATGTCTATCACAATGGGTTAAAGCACTGAGTCCCGGGAAGAAAAACTACAGGCCTTGTCACCCTGACCAGGTCATCATGTCAAGGGCTTCCAGAGGAGATAAACTTCTGAGCGACCTCGGTTACAAGTTGGGCCAAACCTTGGGGGAAGGCAGCTATTCCAAGGTGAGAGTAGCCACTTCGGCCAAATACAAGGGGCCACTAGCCATCAAAATGGTGGACCGGCGTCGAGCGCCCCGGGATTTTGTGGAGAAGTTTCTGCCGAGGGAACTCTCCATCTTGAGAGGGATCCGTCATCCGCACATCGTCAGGGTCTACGAGTTCATCGAAGTCTGCAACGGGACACTGTACATTGTGATGGAGGCCGCGTCTACAGACCTCCTGCAGATGGTGCAGAAGACAGGCAAATTGCCCTGCGCCCCTGAGGCGCGGGACATCTTTGCCCAGGTGGTGGGTGCTGTGCGCTACCTCCACGACCGGCATTTGGTGCACCGGGATCTCAAGTGCGAGAACGTGCTGCTCACTTCGGACGGCCGCCGAGCAAAGCTGACCGACTTTGGCTTTGGCAGAGAATCGCGCGGGTACCCGGAGCTGAGTACAACCTACTGTGGTTCTGCGGCCTACGCCTCTCCCGAGGTCCTCATGGGCGTCCCCTACGACCCCAAAAAGTACGACGTGTGGAGTTTGGGCGTCATGCTCTACGTGATGATAACTGGCTGCATGCCCTTCGATGACACCCACATTCATAACATGCCGTGCCGCCAGAAGAAAGGCGTCGTTTTCCCCGAAGACCTGCCCGCTTTGGCGGAGCCCTGCCAAGCCCTTATTAAGCAGCTGCTCCAGTTCAGCCCAGAATCCCGGCCCTGTGTGGGGCAAGTATCTAAGAACAGCTGGCTGAAGGGGGAAGCCTAAGTGTGATGGCTTTCGCCAGGACACCTACCAGACGCAGCTGCTTCAAGGGAGGGGGGGTCATGTTAACCGGACAATGGAAACGTTTAAGTTGTCAGAAAGGTTTCTGGGATTGTTGAGCATGAGAAGAAGTAAGTGGGCAAACTGATTTAGCGGGGGGAAAGGAAAAAGAGAAAAGCAATTCAGATGTAAGTTCCTCTGAAATTAACGGGACTTACTTCCAAACAAATGTATTTAGGTTTGGGGTGCCAATGAGATCTTTAAAACCCACTTTTGTGTGTCAGCTTCTCATTCTGCTCAGGGCGATGTTAAGTTGTGGGCATACATATCAGACGACACAGCGATTCTTCAAACAGCTCGTGATATTCCGAGGCCAGAACAGAACTGAACTGAAGAGTTCAGTCAGCCTGCTTATATAGAGCTCCAGAACAACGTAACTGTAGCAACTTTCTAAAACTATCCAATCACTGAATGTCACTTTCGATCCTTCATTTGCATAACTATCTACAGTATCCCCCTGCTGGCCCAGGGTGAGAACTTCAGTACGTACATAACAGGCAATACTTCTCGTTTGTTTGGAGGGGATTCCTACGGATCGCTCAAGTTTGGGGGAATTGGTTTGAGGGAGCGATGTCTCGCACAGCGTGGCATCCTGTACTGAGGAAGTGTGTCAGAATCCCCTGCAGCATTTCAGAGGATTCTGATGTGCTCTCTCAGCATAGATGGGGTGCTGGCTGTACTGGAAGGAGCTGGACCAGAAACAGGACTCTCACACTGCCCTTTGGTATGGGGTACCTTTGTTTGCGCAGTCCTAGGCAGCTGCATGGTCAGGCTTTTCCTATGGAATCAAAATGCTTATAAAAGTACCCTCTTCTGATTGGATCATATTTAAAGGACAACCGTGGATTCCCAACAAAAATTGTTAGCTGGCCCTAAGATCTTAGGATCCAAACTTTCCCAAATCAAAAGGATTATTTGCAGGGTGAAGGACAACGTGCTTTAAATTTATGGTGCGTGAACCTCGTGTAAACACTGTCACAGTCCATCCTGAGAGTTGGTCAGGATTATGCAGACCATGTAGGGGACGCGGGTGGCGCTGTGGGTTAAAACACAGAGCCTAGGACTTGCTGATCGAAAGGTCGGCGGTTTGAATCCCTGCAGCGGGGTGAGCTTCCGTCATTCGGTCCCAGCTCCTGCCCACCTAGCAGTTCGAAAGCACCCCTAAGTGCAAGTAGATAAATAGGGACCGCTTTCTAGCGGGAAGGTAAACAGCGTTTCCGTGTGTGGCACTGGTGCTGGCTCGCCAGATGCAGCTTCGTCACGCTGGCCACGTGACCCAGAAGTGTCTTCGGACAGCGCCGGCTCCTGGCCTCTTGAGCAAGATGAGCGTGCAACCCTAGAGTCGGTCACGACTGGCCCTGATGGGCAGCAGTACCTTTACCTTTACCTTTTATGCAGACCATGTAATCCAGGGGTCAGCAAACCTTTTCAGCAGGAGGCCAGTCCACTATCCCTCAGACCTTGTGGGGGCCAGACTATATTTTGGAAAACAAAAACAAAAACGAATTCCTATGCCCCACAAATAACCCAGAGATGCATTTTAAATAAAAGCACACATTCTACTCATGTAAAAACACACTGATTCGTGGACTATCCATGGGCCAGATTTAGAAGGCAATTGGGCCGGATCTGGCCCCCGGGCCTTAGTTTGTGTACCCATGATGTAATCGGTAACAGAAGCCCAGATTGGAAAAAGGCTCAACTCAATTGTATCAAAAATAATGCATTGGCCCACAATAGTATATCATGGTGGAAATGTCCAGAAGGCCATGGGTGTGGCCAGGATTTTTTTTTGGGGGGGAGGGTTGCAGGACTTTTGTTTGGCGGGGCAGAACTGACATGATTGGTCAGTTAGTTAAGTACAGTCGTACCCTGGATCCCGAACGCCTTGCAAGTTGAACGTTTTGGCTCCCGAAGGCCGCAAACCCAGAAGTGAGTGTTCTGGTTTGTGAATATTCTTTGGAACCTGAATGTCCAGCGCTGCTTCCGATTGGCTGCAGGAGCTTCCTGCAGCCAATCAGAAGCCACATTTTGGTTTCTGAACTTTTTGGAAGTCGAACAGACTTCCAAAACGGATTCCATTCGGCTTCCAAGGTATGCCTGTATTTCTGTTGTTTCACTTGATCTGGGGGGGCAGCTGCCCTCCCCTTGACTACACCCATGCACAAAGCAGTCATCCAATCAATACAATGCATAGCTCAGTTGGTTAGAGCATGGTGCTGATAATACCAAGGTCGCAGGTTTGATTCCCATAAGGGACAGCTGCATATTCCTGCATTGGACCAGATGATCCCCAGGGTCCCTTCGAACTCTATGATTCTATGAATTGCCCAAGTCTCCACTATAATAGGGGATATGATTATCAGTCAGTGATGGCTCACCGGAACCTAACTTGCCACCTTCAGCCATGGGGATGGCCAGTTTCCTGATCATCAGGTGAAAGCAAGTCTTTGACCTTTTCTGGTCAGTCCACGGCAAGGCTTCACCAATGGGACAGGCAGATCGTCCTGCAGTCTGCCATTCAAGGAGTTCTCCAAAGCCTTTGTCTTCGTGAACCTATCTGCAGCTAATCGGGTCAGACTGTTCTCACTTGCTCTCTACTTTTTCTCTGCACTGCTTTTGCCCCCTTTGCTCCCCATGCAAGAATCGTTATGCCTTCTGCGTTTGCAGAAATTGACTCGTTGACTCAGCCGTCACATCCAAAAGCAAATAAAGATCCACGGTCCTGAGGGAGAATCACACACATAATGGTTTACACCTGCTGTTCACAATGGAAGAGAAGCTCTCGTGGGTGCCTTTGGAACCGCAGTGGGGGCGAAGCGTTAAATTCCCCTCCCTACAGCCATGAACCGGCAGGGTAGAGAAATGACGCAAGGGCAAACTATGTGGCAAACTTCTAATCTAGTTTGGCCTTTGGGGCTTCCCATGATATTGCCTCAGTAATTGCTCCATGAGATAAGAATATTGGGGTCATATGGGAGAGATGATGCAGGCACAGTCCAGGTGAAAGTCAAGCGGCCATGTCTGTCAACCTGACCTGAGGTGCTTTTCCAGACTGGCCAGCTCTCCCTCCATTGATGTTCATAACACACAGACAACAGAGCCTCCAAGTGCCCCTGTTTTTCACTGACAAAAGCCATCCCTGTTTCTGATTTGATCGCAGAATGTCCCGCTTTTCCTTAGAACGTCCCTATTTTCTTCGGAGAAAGGTTGGAGGGTATGGAGTTATGCAACCCTTGAGCCAAGGAGATAAGTGACTATACAATCTTTAGAGGACATCCGAAGACAGCCCCATATAGGATTTATATATATATATATATATATATATATATAAAGTTTAATGTTTTATTATGTTTTTATAATTGTTGGAAGCGTCCCAGAGAGGCTAGGGCAATTCAGTCAAATAGGTGGCGTGTAAATAATAATAATAGTATGATTATGATGGAATAAAAGGTAAAGGGACCCCTGACCATTAGGTCCAGTCGTGACCGACTCTGGGGTTGCAGCGCTCATCTCGCTTTATTGGCCGAGGGAGCCGGCGTACATCTTCCGGGTCATGTGGCCAGCATGACTAAGCCACTTCTGGCGAACCAGAGCAGTGCACGGAAACGCCATTTACCTTCCCGCCGGAGCGGTACCTATTTATCTACTTGCACTTTGACGTGCTTTCGAACTGCTAGGTTGGCAGGAGCAGGGACCGAGCAACAGGAGCTCACCCCGTCGCGAGGATTCGAACCGCCGACCTTCTGATCGGCAAGTCCTAGGCTCTGTGGTTTAACCCACAGCGCCACCCGCGTTCCGATGATGGAATAGGACGTCCCTATTTTCAGAGGCTCAATGTTGGAGGATATGAGGGACAAACACTTTGTGTACCCAAGTAGGGTTGTCGACCCATTTTATCAGACAGTTCAAAACGAAACAAAACACCTCATGGCAGCAAGGCCTTTCATTTCTTACCACAATAAACTTGGTTCCTGTGCCATAACTAACCAGCCCCAGTGCCATTTTCCACAAATTACGGTATGTGGGGGTTACATTCCGGGAATCATACCTAAAGCCAAAATCACATATCATCAAGGCACATTGGGTTCAATGGCGGGTGGGATTGCAAAAGTGGTTTTTTTCCTGGACACCCGCCCCATTTCCACACCCCTTTTAATTTTTTTTTATTTCTGCCAAGCAGGTAAAGCGGAATATGCATAAGTTAAACGTGCGCAAGTTGTGAGCTTCCTGTATTTAGAGGCTGAATTCCTTAAATATCAAGCCAAAATAGAAAAATCAGAAGATGTCACGTCCACCACGTGCATTAAAAATATATGGCTTCCCTCTGGGGAACTGTAGTTTTACACTTCCCAGAGCTACAATTCCCAACACCCTTAACAAACGACAGCCCCCGTGATTGACCACATGCACTTCAAATATATGGTGTGGATGTGACCGGAGTTGATAAATTGCATTTGAAGTATGTGTGTTTTCCTCAGAGGTAAGTCCTGTTCTGGCTCACGTAATAACCGGCATCCGGTTTTTCCTGTTCCTCGGTCTTTCATGACTACCTGGGCACTACTGTACTAGGTCAATTACAGCATCACACAGGAAATGACCTCGCCCGGTCTAATTCCATCCCTAAGAGATGCCTCCATTAGTCCTGAACCCCACCAGCAAGACCTGTGGGTCTGAGTTGGATGTGGTGGGTCTCAAAAGCTTCTTCCATACTATCTCGTCACTCCCAAGACAAGAAAGAAGGAGCTTAAGCTCAGATCAAGAGAGCTGTTTACTTTCCCCCAGGCTTCCATTAACTCTCATGGAATTCGTTTCTATAAACACTGCATTGGGTTAAATGTAGGTTGACTACAATCTTGTAATGTTTATAAGTTCTGTTTTCGTTTTCGTTTTGTTTTGTATATATGGTTGTTCTCTCTCTCTTTTTTCCCCTTTTCCTTCCCCCTCCCTGCTTTTTATGCCTTATTTCACCCTGTGCACTTACAAGTACAGTGGTACCCTGGTTCTCAAATGCCTTGGTACTCAAACAACTTGGAACCCAAACACTGCAAACCCGGAAGTAAGTGTTCCAGTTTGCGAACTTTTTTTCAGAAGCTGAACGTGTTCCCTTTTGAGTGTTACGCTGAGGTCTGTCTGTTTTGGTTATTTTGCATTTTTGTTTTTGTGGCTTTTTTGTTTTGTTTTTGTGACTGTGTGGAACACAGTTCAG